AAAAAAGAATATAAGAGGCATTTCAAAGGAAGAAAAAGAGATAACCTCAATTTTTCAAACTTCTGATGACTATAAGAAGTGTGAAGATGGATGGAACTTAAGAACACTATGTTGAACGAAAGAAGCCAAACTCAGAAGGTCAAGGATCATATGAAAATTGAAGGCATACCAGTAGAGGAAAGGGACAGGGGGTAGAAGAAGTGAAGGAAGGAGGGAAATGCTGGGGAGTGACATTGGCCAAATTATATTGTTATATTATGCTCATGTATAAATATATAACAATAAATCCCTGCATTATGTACAACTATAATGCACCAATAAAAATGTGGAAAAAAGAGGTAAAAATAAAAGTGTGATGCCACTAAGGGAAACAGAAAAGTTGTGGAATACAGAACAGAAGTTCAGATGAAGAGCTGTTGTGAGTGTATTGAAAGAAGATGATATTTGCATAGGACATTCATAATATATAAGCAGGACTGTCATTATTATATAGCCTAAAATCCAAGTAGGAAAATAAATTATAAATGGGAATTAATATAATAAGTAAGGGTCAGATTAAATGCAACTAGTGCCTCTGCACAATCCAAGATTCCATCAACTGAAGAAAGGATCTTCCCTGCTGATGAAATTACCATACAACTTAGAGGACACCTTGTCTAATTCCCCACTCATTATTTTGATGACATTTGCAGTAAATGGTCATCCAGCTTCTCCTTGAACTTTCCCTGGGATTATGAGCTCATAACATCCGTAGGCAGCTCTGTGACATTTTTAGACTGCTCTGTTCCTCACTAAATAGAGCTGAAATCCATATTATTCTGCCTTCTAAGCTTATCACAATACAATTATGATTCTTTTCTTACTTAAAAACTCTTAAGAGGATTAAAAGTAGTGATTATTGTCAACCTATTCTCTTCTTATGACACATTTCATGGAGTCATAGTTACTCTAAAGGGGTTGAATATTCAAGTCCAAAAGTCATCTGGTTCCATGACTCACCTGGAGGTCCTCGGAGGCCTTTTTGCCCTGGCAATCCATCTATTCCTTTATCTCCAGGAAGCCCACGGGGTCCAGGAAGTCCTGGTAGCCCAAGTCCTGGAGGGCCAATTGGACCATGATGGCCTTTTTCACCAGGAAGTCCTGGGAACCCCTTTTCACCTGGGAAGCCCTGTCCACCATCACCCTAGATAACACAAAAAAGAATGAACGTCTATCTCAGAGACTTTCTTGGAGAGTCCTCTGATCATAGGAATAAGTTAACCAATATGACCAATGATTGTTTCACTAAAATTCTCCATGACTGTAGTTTATTAATCAACCTTCTCTGAGATTAGTTAGTGGGAATGGTCTTTCAATTCTGTGTGATCTGATACTTCAAAAGGTTCTCTGCTGTGGGGAGAGGGCAGGCAATGAGCAGTATAACAACCCTTGAGGTCATAGAAAGCAGTTGGATTACGTGAAGGAGAAAGCTACTGAGAAGCTGAAACATTTTCAAGTACATTTGGTCGATTGTTACTAGCATTTATCAAAGGAGACAATGATCGTTCTGAGAAAAAGATTCCAATTTTACAGGAAGAAAAGCACAGAGCCTAAAATGTCATTGCAGAGCCAGGATGAGATGCTCCAAACTCTATTCTGTCCTGTTTCCTGGTCCAGGGGCCATCAGATCTCCCCTAAGTCAGGTGTGAGAATTTACAGAGTTAATTATCCAGGAACGATCAACTTACCCGAAGGCCTGGCAGACCTGGTAAACCTGGTACTCCATCCTTGCCTGGGGCTCCTGTTAGACCAGGGAACCCTTGGGGGCCAGGATCACCTTTCTCCCCTGGCATGCCAGATCCTGTACTGAGAGTTGGTTCACCCTTCTTTCCTTTGGGGCCTACAAGACCTGGAGGCCCAAATAATCCCTGACAAAACAGACAAAAGGGAATAATGGGGAGATGTAGACTTTGTAGAATTCTGGCACATATGATCTAAGGGGTCTTTGGGTACATATTGGTACTGCTCTGGACACTTGATTACATTGTTATCTTGAATAATAACTGCCCCGTTTTCTGTGTCCTTTCTAAATTTTGAAATATCTGAGAGTTGAAATCTCATCTTAATTCCTGTTTTATCTTCAGGGCCCAGCATGGTGCTAGGCAAATGTAAATAATTTTGTGGGAGGAAGGGAAAGAAGGAGGGAGGGAAGGTTATAGCGCAGAGGGACTTTAGAATTCTTTGTGTTATGGATCAAAACCCCAAAGCTTTGTTTTATATCCTTCTTTTATGTGCTTTAGGAAAGTGATTGGTGAGGAGTGAGGGACACTTGAAAGCTCCCTTTTCTACCTCAGGGCCAAATTTTGGCAAGACTTACTGGAGCCCCTGCTGGGCCTTGTGTGCCCCCTGAGCCTGGATCTCCTCTGGTTCCTTTAAGGCCTGGAAGGCCCATGAGACCTTGTGGCCCAGGCAGACCTGGTTCTCCGGGTGGGCCAGTATTGGGGACACCACCATCACAAGCACAAAATCCCGAGTCCCCTGGGAGAAAAACAGATGACATAAAATAAAGTGGGTCCTCTATCTAAGAAGAAGGAACACTTGATATTGGTTATTTGTGACTTGAATAACTTGCCTTGGAGAGAATCAAGAGACCTGAAGAAAAGAGACTTAAATGAACTAGGCTTACTCTCCCTCAGAGTACATTTGTGCTAGTAATTCAAATTCCATTAGTCTGGGATGATGTCAGCCATCCATTGAGCCCAATGTGCAATCACTGTTGAGAACCACTGACTTAAACTTAACCAACTGAGAGTCAGAAAATGATAAGCCCTGAAACTGAGAAAACAATGTGTTCTTCAGATTAGTATAGGTTGAGTTTAAATGCTCTGAGATAGAAAACTTTTTTTTTAAATCTTGGCATTTTGGATTAGGGATATCAACCCATAAGGTCTATGTAAATATTCCCAAATCCAAAGAATATGAAATCAGAAACATTCCTGGTCCCAAGCATTTTAAATAAGGGATACTCAATCTGTATTTCTCAAGTGTGTCCATGGACCTCCCACATGAGTCACCTGTTTATAAGGCAGCTTTCTGGGCTCTGTCCAAGTATGAATCAGTCAATCTTAGAAGGCTAGACTCAAGAATATAGTTTTAAAAACTTTCCCTAAGTGGTTCTGATGTAGAATGATGCTTGAAAGTCACTCTCACTATTCTAGTCTTAGAGAAAACCTTTTGGGCCCATGGAAATTTAGAAGGGTAGCATTAGTTCTCACTCCTTTTAGGAGTGAGAACGATATTGAGAAATACACCAGCCATGTAGAGAGTCAGGGAAGAGCCAGAATTAACATCCTAAATTCAGTGATTTGAAATTTAATATCCTTTGCCCTCACATAGTCTTCCTTGAGTCTGAATAATAGAGATCAATATTGCTGAAATTTCTGAACTAGGTCAAGACCTGAGAATCTGAAACAGGTCACTGCTCCTATACTTAGGCAGTGGTATTTTATGAGAGGGCACTGAAAAAGAGAGAAGAGCTGTTAATTCCTGGAGAGAACAGGAAGTCTCAGATATCTGAAGCCCCTAAGCCATCCCTAAACCTCTGCCACCCACGCCTGGGTTGCAAGCATAATGAATTGATTTCTTTAAGCATCTTCCCTTTAGAGGAAGGAATGGAGAAATGACCCAAAGGCAGAAAGAAGACGAGAGAATCAGTGTGGTGGAAGGCTAGATTCATTGATCAACTCTTCAGCACCACTGGGGACTTGGATTGTTTTCCTGGAGTTAGTTTATTCAATCTCAGGTCTTGACCAGTTCAGAGCCCTTTCCTTCAGGCTGAAGGTGATGATAAGTGGCTTCCAGTCTTGCCCTTGCAAACTGGTTAATACCCTGACAGCTAGCAATAGCTTCAGCAGGTGGAGGGAGTATGAAAAGCAGCCTCTACCCATTGTGTCCTATGTGACCTCAGTTGCCAGTCTTGGTCTTAGAGTCCTAAATATAGCACTTCCAATAATCCTGTGATCAAAGCTCCTCTCAAGAGTCAAAATTACTTCCATTCAGATTGCCAAGGCTATTGTCTTGCTTATTCCCCATAAAGCTGAATCTAAGAAGCTTGGGGGACAAAGAAACTCAAAGGGACAAAATCACCTTTTACTCCTTTGAAACCTGGGCTTCCTTTTGGACCTCGTTCTCCTCGGAGACCAGGGAACCCTGGTTCTAGGCCATATAAGGTTCCAGTCTTAAATGGTGAACCTGAAGGGAAAAAGATACATGAAAGATTGGCAGTTTATAGAACTCAACTGACTTGACTTGACATAGAAAGTCCCTCACCAAGGCCTGTGTCCTTGAGGCTCACCACTCAGAGACGAAAATATCTAAAATGGGGACCTCCAAGTCTGAGGCAAGGAGCTAACAAATCCTTTTGGCTCAATTTACTCCACTAATACTTAACAGAATTTTTACTATGTCCCAGGCACTGTGCCAGGCATTGGATATTCAGGGATGAACATGGTGGCTTCAGTAACTCAGCAGGCCCAATATATAACCCAGAAAGCCCCCTTGGGACAAAAGAGAAAATAGCTGCAGGATGAAGTGGTTAGGAGCTGTTAGGGTACAAAGAAACATGCTGGGGAATATTTCTAGTCTTTCTCTCAGAATCTGGATTCCTATATTCAAGTATAATATCTAAGAAGAACAGACTCTATGCAAGCTTTTATTCATTCATTCATTCATTTGGTGCTGGGGATGGAATCCAGGGCTTCATACATGCCAGGCAAATACATGCTCTACCACCAAGCTACACCCTCATTCCCACCTACATAGGCTTTTTTAGTAGCCACCTTGAGGATCTGGGCATATCTCCTTTCTTAGTCTTTCATCCCATTCCACTTGAACTCCCTGAACCAGGGGAAGCTCAAAATAGCCAATTATACTTCTGCAGGAGCTGAAATGCCAGAGCACTGAGGGCTGAGAGCAGTGAAGGCTGTAAAGAGAATCTACAGAAGCTGAAAGGCATTAGGTGTTTTTGACCATCAAGATGGCCCCAGCTTGCTTGTTCCTTGATGAAGAACATTGTGGTATAGATGATAACAGCAGAGGCAGGGTTGACTCAGACATTATGGAGCCTTCATTGCTCCCCTCTGTAGTTGATGTTTCCTCTTTTAGCTGTTTAACCTGAAATACTTCCTCAAAACTCATGACTGTTCTGTAGTATGAATCACACCTGATCCAGGTCTCAAGACCATAGAAAAAAGTGAACAAAACTTACCAGGTGGGCCTGGTGGGCCTGGTGGGCCTGGTAGGCCTGGGAAACCAATTCTTCCAGGAAGGCCAACTGTGGTGGGGCCTGGGTTTCCTTGGTCTCCTTTCAGGCCTGGAAATCCTTGAGGTCCTAGGGCACCTGGTATGCCTGGAAGGATAAGCCAACACAAAAATGCTCATCTCTCTACTTTTTAGGGGTATTACAATCAGTGGCATATATGGTAAACAATTCAAGGAAAGCAACTGGGAAATCATTTGCCCTTCTCTTGCATCAGAGTTGAAATGTTCCTAAAGGATGAATGAGCCTAACCTTTTGGAAAACTGAAAACCAAAGGACAGAAACACGGTCAGGAGCAGTTTCTTAGTGGCAAACTTGAGAGGAAAACTGAGTCTTTAGCCTCTGACTTCTCAGGTTTTTTTTTTTTTTTCCATTTTGAGGCTGGGCCCAGCTGTTCTTCCTCCAAAATTCTGCTTTAAAAGCACAGGTATCCTTACAGAGGCCCATCTCCATGGAAATTGGGAACTGGTGAGTTTAAAAGTAATGTCTAAGGTTTTATATCTGTGATAGTTCCTCCTCCCAGACTCTAGCATATTCTTTCTCTGCTTGCCACTACAGAGTGACACAAGAGTATACTCCTCTGAAGATTGGTGCAAGGAGAATACCCATAGGATCCAAGGACCAGACAGTGCTAGAGTTAATCCCAGAGTCAGGGTCTGGGTACAAATTTGCCTTTGGGCTTTTGTTAGACTCTCTTGGCAAGCATCAACCAGAATGGCACTTCAACAGGAGAGTGATAAGGTTTCAGCTGCCAGAGGTACGCCTCTGATTGCAGCAAACCTCACTGACAGTCTGGGATTGTCTGTCCAGCTATGGTACATCATTTAAGTCAAAGGAAAGCTGTTTACCCAGATTGGGCTGGCAGTAGGAAAACTTACTGACTGTAGTGTAACTTACCTTTGACCTTGGCTATGTGTGTGCCCAGACCCAGAATCATTAGAAAAGGCTGTGAGGAACCAGAGTGGACACAGGACTGATCTGTGCAAGGGTTGGGTTAGGTTTTTTTTTTTTTTGTTTTTGTTTTGTTTTTTTTTTTTTTGTACCTGTTAAGGCTGGGAGACCAGGGGGGCCAGAAGGGCCACGCTGGCCCTGGATGCCTTCATCTCCTTTAAGGCCTGGGAGGCCTGGTATACCAGGGTCCCCAGGATAACCTGGCATTGCAACAAAAAATAAAACAGTAAACAAACACATCAGAACCCCACCAATGTCACAAAATACCCAACAAAAGATATGGGGAGCTGTCATGAAGCTAGAAGTCCCTTTCTTGACCTTTCTGGGTTTCCCAGATGCTAATGGCTTCACATGATAATAGGCCTATGGAAGGCAGTATTCTACTAGGGTTCAGAATTGGTCTGGCTAGGGCTTTCCTTCCAAGATTAGATCTGGTAAATGGTAGGCGAGTTCTTCCCCTGCTACTAATCTCCTGTAACACCTCAAATGTCTACCATTTGGGTTAAGATGAAGTCCACTATTTGTGTTATATACATAGGGTTCCTGGAAGCAGAAAGCCACTGTAAACTATCAGTATCAGACAGGGCATGGAACTGAGAGAATGAGAGGAAAGGAGTAAGTTTGGAGACCCAGGTGGAAGAGGCACTATAGTAGAAACCTTTGATCAGGCAAGAAGTAGCTAGAGACACTGGGCATCTGAATCTTTGGAAGAGGCAAAGGGAAGAGTTGGACACACAGTAACTAGCAAAAGGAGAAATGAAGACAAACTTTCATACTGTTGAGGGTTCTCAGTAACTTGCTCCCCTAATCCTGTTATTGGCAAGCACAAGCATGCATGGGATCATCTATATGAGACCCTGAGTGTTCCATAGTATTGGGCTGAAACCAGCCCATATAGGGAGGGTATTAATCCTTTCCTAAGCATCACTATGAAAACCATTTTTATGAAATTCAGGCCCAGGCAGACCCAATTTCTATTTTTTTTTGTACTGGGGATTGAACCCAGGGGCAATTTAACCACTGAGCTATATCCCAGTGCTTTTTATTTTTTTATTTTGACACAGGGTCTTACTAAGTTGCTCAGGACCTTGCTAAATTGCTGAGGTTGGCCTTGAACTTGCAATCCTTCTGCCTCAGCCTCCCAGGTCCCTGGGATTACAGGCATGTGCCACCATGCCTGGCCAAATTCTACTCTTTTTTAAAAACAATATATATTTTTTAGTTGTAGTTGGATGAAATACCTTTATTTTATTTATATTTATGTGGTGCTGAGGATTCAACACAAGGCCTCACATGTGCGAGGTGAGCGCTCTGCTACTGAGCTACAGCCCCAGCCCCCAAATTCTACTCTTGATGGAACCAACACAAAAGTGGGAGGCTGAGCTTGTCTTCTCTGCCCAAGAGACTGGAATCAGTTCCATTCCCCAAGTTCAGGACCCACGAAGGGCCCTTAGTAGGGTCAGCAATCCAGTGGCTGACAAAGTATCGTATTATTAATTATGGGGGATGTAGAATTTAATGTCCAGTCTTTTCTTCTCCCATCAAATCAATGAAGAGTTGCACCTGAGATCACAGCACCACCTTCATCGATGTCTGGGCCTGGCAGGCCAATGCCACCCTTTTCACCCTGCAAAGATTAAATATATTAAACACAAATATTTCTCTGACCTCATCACAGAAGATCTATGTGTTCTCATAGCCAGTACCTAGGAAAATGAAATGTTCCTCCTTCTCAGACCCTTGATTTCAAGGGCCAACTAGTCCAGAGTTAATTTCAAAGGGCAATAAATTTAAGTCAAAGGTGACACAAGGCAGGCCAGAGGCCTGGCACTCGATAGCAAACCTGTCAAGGACAAGGAATCCCAATTTTATTTTGCAATACTACTTAAGGTCATTCTGCTTCTGGGCCTTGGAAATACATCACAGGCATAGACAACATGGACATACTCAAGAGGTGCTAAGGAGGGAGCAGAATTTAAAAATGTTTTCTACTCTCAGCAGGCTTGGGACTGTAATACTGTCACTAGCTTTGTTAGTGGGTGATGTCAGGAAGAGAAAGTCAAAGGAGTCCTAACTCTCCCAAAAGAGGGACTCAGGCACCAGAATAAGATATAGTGGAATACCCAAGATAGGTGGTAGGCACTGACTGCCCAAGGTGCAGGCAACAAGGGATACAAGTCTGTAGAGAATTTAAAAATAATAATAAAACCTAAAAGTTGGTAGTATCTGAGGAATGCCATCAGCTTGGTGTGCTCAAAGTATGTTGTATGTATTTCTGGAGGAAAAATATACTATCTAAAACATCAAAATTAAAAACACTTCATTTAATATGTAGGCATTTATAGTAATTCTTCACCTTTCCACCTCCTGAACCCTAAATTTTCACTTCCCAACCACATTACCTTAATTCCTGGAAATCCATTCAGCCCAGGAAAACCTGGAGGCCCCATCATGCCCTGTGACAGAAACATAATTATCACTAAGTTCAAAGAATAAGTGTATAAATGGAGCTGGTATTTGAATTAGGCTAGGGCAAATTGCACAGGAATTTTGGCTGGCATTCAGGGTATGTGTGGCTTCTAACTGACTCTGGAAGAAGAGAAGGCAATATGGCACTAGACAGTCAACTTGCATATTAGGAAGTACAAAGGTCACAAGGCTATGGCTACAAGCAGGCTAGCCATGCTAGTCCCCAATATCATGCCAAAGATGTGTTACCATATAATGACGTGGCAAGGCACCACATGTGACATTGGATACCCATCCATGCTCTTAGGTGAAAACAAAAGAGATTGGCTAAGATTACATTGTTAAGGTTAAGTGGAAAATTTGCATTCTAAGCAATGTCTCCATTTGGCCATGTAAAGAAAAGCAAGGGGGCCTTTTGATTAGAATTTTGTACACAAGTGCTTTACTGATATTAACAAAAATACCTGTGTCCCTGGAGGACCTGGGACTCCTTCTAAACCAATAGGACCCTGTAAAGAGAATAGCCACACCTTAGAAAGATTATTGGCCCACACTGGAAAAAGTTGCTAGACTTACATAATAAAGCTCTCCAACTGAGTTCAAGATTTAGTGGCTCCTAAAGTCAGGTAAGAGAATGTTCCTAGACCTGACTTAATGACTTCTTTCTAAGCACTAATCCATCAGGCTGAATAGCATTTGTAAATGGAGCATTTTTAAAAGCTAAATAAATGGAAACATTTTAAGTAGAAGGTGGAATTTGGTAGAAGGGCTGGGTGGTATTATACTTAGTTTGCATTAGTTCCAAGTCAGAGGATTTTATAATAGATTATGGGACAGCCTCTTGTCTTCCACCTCAAATACATTCTTTGTTGGTGATTATGTGTTTTTAAGACAACAGAGACAGAAAGATAAAGACATGGCAGGGTAATGAGTGAATATTGTGAAATACTCAAAAGAACTCCTAAAAACTGCATGGACAAACTTAAAACACAGTTCTATATAATGTTACTAATTTAACTAAGGCTGGCCAACTACTTATAGTTGAAGATCTAAGTGCCTTAAGCTAGGATCAGATAGGCTGATATTTATTTTTCTGTTCAAAGTGACATTATTATCGTCAACTATTGACTCCAAGCTTACTACATTCTATAATTACCCAAGCTTATTTCTGTCCTATAAAGATTGCACTTGTTCCTCTTTCTTCCATCCTTGTGCTACGTCCCACCTACATTCTACTGGGTGAGAATGGAATGAAAGAAAGACAACACTCATATCATTCTTTAGCTCAGAAGATAATTTACATGAGGGCAAGGATAATAAATAGGCTGAACAGCCACCTTGATTAGGGAGCATATCATTCCTTATTCTAGAGAGATACTCAGTCAAGGGAATAGGGCCAAATAGAGAGAAGGAACCTATCAGGGGGCTGAGGGAGAGAAACAAGAGAAACTTAGGTGGCTATCAAGTACATAAAATAAAGGACCAGACATTAAAGAAAATGGATCAGATGACTTGACAAATCGGGGAAAGCAACATTCCAGGTTCATACCCTAGGTCCTGGCAAACCAGGGATTCCCTTTTCTCCCTTTTCACCAATAGATCCAAGTTCCTAGAGGAAAAAAGAAACCACAGGTTATGATATTCTTCTTCTCTTAAGTCTCCAAGCTCCATTCAAAGGAAGGAGGTAATTTCAAATCAGCTCCACTATTCCATTAGGGAGGCTAATCATTTTGCTGAGTCTCTTGCCAATGCCTGAAAAGCACATAGGGCCTGAACATAATTTAGTCTATTGCTTCAGCATTCCTTTTTGATTCTAGAAGTAATGTCTTTCCCCGAAAACACTATTACATGTATTTATAACACCATGAGCTAACAGCATAGGAATAATAAAATACCCAATCTCTTTGATTCTAGGGAACAGGAAACTAACACACAGAAGGGTTAAGAATCAATGAAAAAGTCAGGTCTTCTGTCATTAATTTCTGGGTCCTTTCCATGAGAATCAGTTGTCTTCTACCATCTAGGAAATGGACTCTGACCCACGGAAGACTGTGCAAATCCTTGGGGGTCTGTAGGTTGATACTAGAGGGAAGAATTTTCCCCTTTGGAGACATGATGACTGCAACATCCTTTTCTGTAGGAAGGATTATTTCTAACCAGAACTCTGCAGCTCCATGCTGGGAATGTAGGGTTCTTGCCAGGTCCTAGAAGTGTTGCAAATGGAACTGTTAAGATGGACTCCAGTCCTACTTGCCCTGCTCACAGGACATGAGGGTGAGTAGCCATGGGTATGAATTGGGGATTCTCTAGGAAAAAACAAGGACTCCAAGAAGCATACTGAATGTGAGAGAGCTTCCTATCCTGTGGGTATCAGGTAAACATCTGGTCCCCCAAGATACAGAAGAGTTCATTACCAAACTGAATAAAGTCTTTAATGGAAAACTTAAGTGGGGCCATTTTGTTTTAATGGAAAACTTAAGTGGGACCATTTTGTTATCATTGTTTGAAATTGCCTATTTTGGAGCATAGATTTTGGTAAATAGCACTTGGGCCTATCATGAGAGTAAAGGGGGCAATGAAGCTTTCTCAAATGGAAACTTGTGAAAAGATGCTACATGTTGTAGTGGCACGTCTCCTATTGTCCACTTAATGTGACCTGGCTCAGCTGGTGTGAGGGCACGGGTCCAATCCCATTTGTAGCTTTTTCTTACTCTTACATACTCAGTGCATTCCCATGGGCACTGAAGCCTGGCTGAATACCCCCATGGCTTTCTAGGCTTAGGGTTTTGTTTTTTTCCTTAATGTAGGTTGCTTGTTGTTATTGTTGTTGGTTTTTATTATTGTGGGGAGGGTATGTGTCTGTGAAGGGTCCAATTCAAAGCAGGTTTTGCTTCCTACTTGCCTTTTCTCTTTTCTACATCTACAGTTGTGTGTCAAACAGCTCAGCCCTTATGCTGAATAGATTTTCTAATTCTAAAGGACTGTGGGTCAAACTGAATGCAAACTCGTTTGAAGTGTTTGAAATATTTTTTTTTTTTTTTTAACATTTCAAATTGGAAACCACTGTATGCTGCCACCTGGTGGAATGTGTCTATGGGCCTCTGAGTTTGAACACTTCAAGCGGTCTTCCCTGACCTGACCAGGAAAGCTGTGATAGCCAGTGCTGCCCTCAAATCTTAAAGCACTAAGATTGGCTATGTATGAAAGTTTTGTAAGCAGAAGGCCTCTGTCACACTCTCTTCTGTTTCCCTCCAAGGCGCTGTTACTGCTGCCTGAACACATACAAGGTAGTCCAGTAAATGATTGCTGAATTGAAGGCTTGGTTAATGAATAAACTTGTTTTAAATTGGTTTAAAAAGTTGTTGAATTGAATGGAATAATGACCAAGAGAAGGGGCAAGCAGTGAAGAATAGAATGCCCAGAACTATCTCATGCCCCCCACTTATCTTGCTCAGTTATAAATATAAGGGGACTTTGTACTCCTTCTTTAGAAAGCAGAGAAAGCCTCAAGATTCTTGCTTTCTCAAAGAGAGAGTCTGATAACTAGTGTTGCAATGTGAACAAAAATAAATACATGAAAAATGTAAGAAGGAAAAAATAAAGAAATGTGTGCATGTGGAATTGAGCCATTAAAAGATAAATGGCTTGGCAAGTTTGCTGTAGTCTCAGCTTGTCTTCCAGCACAGGGAGGCACCGTACAGGGACCCTGCTGAACAAGCTATTTTAGCAAGTTGTCCTGGGACCTGGCCCATCACAGCCAGCTCTTGTTGAAAGTGGTCCTGCAATGGCTGCTCCCACACTCCTACTCCCCTGTGACCTGGAGAGCCTCACTACAGCACTAGCTTAACTCTTTCCTGCTCTCCTGCGCCCTGGGCTCCTGAAGATTTTAAGTTCCAGGGACACTCAATTGAAATAAAAGCCCACCTACCCATTAGTTACCTCAGATCCACTCAATAGTTACTTCAGGATGTGACAGTTTCTTCTCTTCTGCCTCCCCTCACCTCTTCCAGTTTGCCTTCTGGTTGCTGGCCCCTTAGACAGAGGCACATGGGTATACAAATCTCTCTGATAATCTCCATAGGAGGAACTGTACCCTACAAGTGTGAGTGTGCTGCTGGGGATAGGGTATAGGAAGCTAGAACTGAGCCAGAAAAATCAGGGCTATTTGGTCACTGGAGGTGGGGGCAAGCTAAAGAAAAGGAGGTCTAAATCTGTTAGATTGGGTACCTTGTCTCCTGCAAAAATTTGGGCTCAGATGGAAAGGAAACAAATGGCTAAAGGGAACATCTTAGATTCCCTAGAGATTTGCATCCTCAGCAATGCCTTGTTTTGCAGTGAGCATAGATAATTGACAGCTGATGAGAGGACTTTGGATTTGAGAAGTGTGTTTCCCCTGAAAAGCCCAGAATGCCCCAAATGTTACCACCTTTCTCCTCATAGCTTTTCTGCCAAAGGTATTTAGGAACTTACCATTAAGCAGATAGAGATATTAGGAACAAAGCAGTTACATGATTTGGCCACAGTAACATTGAATCTGTGCTGAAGTGGGCTCAGAACTCTGATTTCTGTTTCCACCCTATGAAAATATGCTGTTCTATGTAAAAGGAGGTATTTTCCGGCTTTGATTTTTTTGCAACTGGCCGTTTCCACTTTTCAGCCCTCACTGTGAAATACCCTCACTTTTCAGCCCTCACCAGAAATACTGAGATTGAAACGGTGTTGCAATTTATTACTGCACATTGTGGTCAGTCAGTTTCTTTTTATTTTATAGGACAAAAGGGAACAGATTGAAATTGCAACAGAAGAAATCCTCTGAGCTCCAACTGAAGAAAAGGCGTGACCGTGAACCACTGAATCCTATAGCACCAGAGATCATAAAATCCTTTCTATGTGATTTAGAGACAAAACACCACCACCTCGGTGAATAGAACAAACTGGACAGTAGGGGGCAGTATGGTATGGGGAAAAAAACCTCTAAACTGGCTAGAATTAGAATGTGATAGACATCATTATCCAAAGTACATATATGAAGACACGAATTGGGTGTCAACATACTTTATATACAAACAGAGACATGAAAAATTGTGGTATATATGTGTAATAAGAATTGTAATGCATTCTGCTGTAATTTTTAAAAAATCAATAAAAAAATTAATGTCAATCTCGACTCTGCTAATATCTAGCTTTGCAAATCTGGACAAGAATCTTCATCTGTTCAAGCCATGGTTTCCTTGTCAGTATGAGGCATAAGCCAGGCTTATCCCAGGCTTATCTCACCTTGCTTACCTCACAGGGTGCAAGATGGCTAGCCAGAATCTACGTGAAATGCTCTACAAAGAAAGGTGCAAGGGCTGGGGCTGTAGCTCAGTGGAAGAGCGATTACCTTGCACACATGAGGCACTGAGTTTGATACTCAGCACCACATAAAAAGACAAATTAAATAAAATAAAGATATTGTGTGTCTATCTACAACTAAAATACCAATTTTAAAAAGGCCCAAACCTACTTGCAAAGAGCTCTTCAACAGAAATATAATATGAGCCATTATATTTTCAATTTTCTAGTATCCACATTAAAAAGTAAAATAGAGATTCGTTTCACAATGTATCTTATTTACCTAAATATACAGTAAATATTATCATTTTCACATTGAAGTAAAACTTGTTTCAGAGATATTTTAGGCTATGTTTTTCATACAAATTTTTTAAGATCCAATGTGTATTTTACATGTACATTACGTCTCATTTCAGATCAGTCATATTTCAGGACCTCAGTAACCATATGAGGCCACTGGTTATATTATTGGACAGCACAGCTTTGTATTTTGTAAAGAAACTTCACATACATTGTGAGCAGGACCCCAAAAGAGTAAATATGACCACAGCCATATTACAAATATACAGACAGAGGTTCAGCAACTTGCCAAAGTACCAAAGCTGGAGCTGGGTGTAAGGACTAGGTGTTTGTATCTGACAGCAGGTTTCTGTTGCTTTCTGATTCATTAGCTGCACAGCTGATTAAAATCAAGGACACTGAACAAATGATTCTCTATGCTCACTTGTTTCTACAGAGTAATAGGAATCCTCATGGAAGCAACCTGTGTCACTGGCTCCCTTGTTTTGCTTTCTGGCCATCCAGAGAGAGACAAAGTGTTTCAAAGTACTGTAGGGAAGGACTGGAGACATCTATCCCCATTGTGATAGCAAGCAGGGGCAGGACTTGTCACCTTTGATTCATTAATTTTCCTCTTATTTTCTACCTCAAATCCATGAAAATCTTGTCAGCTTCTTCAAAACATCTTATGATTTGAGATAGATAAACCAAATATAATATATCATTTTTATTTGTTTTCTCATTCCAACAAGGCAACTGTAATTATATATATATACATATATATATAATAAATTTGAATTTTTGTCTTATTAGCTGATATCAAGTAATTACTGATCATTAATTAGTGATGATGATATTGTCACTATGTTTTAACTCAGTTTTAGAAATACTGTGGTATTTATGATGAAATGATATTTGCTTCAGATTTGCCATGTTTTGCTAATTGTTGAATCCAGGTGATGAGTACCCGTGGGGGTCATTATGGCATTCCCTCTGTTTTTGTGTATGTTTCAAATGTTCCATAATAAAAAAATGTAACATGTTTACATTTTGAATTCATCCACTTCTTCCACTTCCATTGCTACCACCAGAGTCCAAGTCACCACCATCATTGTTTGCCTGGCCTTCTGCAATAGCCTATGTTTGCTGTTATATCCCCTATCCTCTCTCCCACCCAGTCAGAGTGATCTTTAAAAAAATACAAGTCAGATACTTCCAATGGCTTCCCACTAAACTTAAAAACTACATTGGATCTGCAAAGATGGCCATGATCTGGCTCCTGCTTCTCTGTTTCTTGTCCTTGCTTACTTTGTCCTGCCCACTCACCTTGATGTTTCTCCAAAATGATGAACTTTATCCAACTTCAAGGCCTTGGTACTTAATGGTTCTCTTGATCTGAAACTTCCTGGTCCTTTCCTGACTTGCTGTCTCATAATATACAGGTCTCTGTCCACCTATCAGTTCCTGAGAAAGATTCTTGTGGGGACTCTGTCCCAAGTGGTCCACTCTATTCCCCACCCATATTCTATCACTTTACCCTTTTTCCATATTTTATTTGATGATATATGAACTTTCTTTTTTTGTGTGTGGTGCTAGGGATGGAATCCAGGGTCTTGTACATGCTAGGCAAGCACTTTACTACTGAGGTACACTACTGGCTCCTGTATTTACTATGGATTTAACTCATGTTTATTTTCCATATTCTCTGTCACTCTCATTAGAATATAATCACAAAGACAGAGACATTTACTTAATGACTGTTGTAACCTCTTTTATGGTTTAGATATGAGTTGTCCCCCCAAAGCTAACATATTAAACAACATAAGAGAGTTTACAGATGAAATGATTGAGTTGTGACAGCCTTACTGGAAAGGATTAACTGGATGGCAACTGTAATCAGGTAGATTGTGGCTGGAACAGGCAGGTTACTATGGGCATGCCTTCAGGGTTTATATTTTGTCCTTGTTGAATAGAGTTCTCTCTCTCTCTCTCTCTCTCTCTCTCTCTCTCTCTCTCTCTCTCCTTCTTGATAGACATGGCCTGAGTTTCTCCCCTCCTCCATGCCCTTCCACTGTAATGTTCTGCCTCACCTTGGGCCCAGAACAATGGAGTTGGCTGTTTATATACCGAGAACTTGGAAACTATGAGTCCCAAATAAACTCTTCCTTCTGTAAACTTGTTCTTCTCGTGTCTTTTGGTCACAAAAGCAAAATAGTTGACTAAAACAGCCCCTGAGTTCAGTAGAATGCCTGCCATAAAGGAGCCCCCACAAAGTATTTGCTGAGTAAAAGAATCTGAGCTAGAAAAGCAGATACAAAAGTAAAGATAGGAATACTAAGAAGACTTACCATTTACTAAACATTTTATAAGTTCCCATATGCACAAAGCCTTTTTATTGCATATTATCTCATTTAATTCTTAGACCACTCTATAACTTTTTTTTGTAGGTTAGGGAACTAAGACTCAGAAAAGTTAAGGAAATTTAAAAAATCTAGAAACTGATGAAACTAAAAGTCAAGCCCAATTCTGTCCTAATGCTAGAGCTTGAGCTGATAATCTCTAAAATATACAGATTCATGGAGAATCACATTAATGTCCTCATGAATTCAAGAATCAAGAAAATTTCCTTAAATGCCTTATTATAGTGATACTGGTAGCATTCTCTTCAACCACCATGAGAAGAGGTCTTTCTGTTAGCCTCCTAGTGCTAAAGGTTTTTTCCAATCAATCCATTTAATATATGTTGACCAAGTAGGAAGACTTACCGGGAACCCTGGAGGGCCACTCACGCCTGGGAAGCCTGGAGGCCCTGGTTCACCCTGGAAAATATGCCAAAGGCTAGTAAGTAGCATCAGGGAGCAGCAAACACAAAGAAGGATGGTTTTCTCAAAGAATTTGGGCTGGGGAGTGAGGAACTTATGGATATTAGGACTGGGGAATCAGATAGTGGTGTAGGTCCCCATGTTGCCCGATTGGCAGCTGTATCAAGATATCTTGTTTAGGGAGCCCTTTGCCATGTACAAAGATCAAGACCCATGACTGTATAAAACAGAATCTCAAATGCATTGTCTGTTTAGAAGACAGAAAGAATGACTATTTTTTTTTTCTTGTGGAAGAAACTGTTCAGTGTGATTTCCTGTAACAAACTATAGGCTACAAAGAAGTTACTGATTTGGGACTAGAATAACAGTGGCAACTTGCATAGGCACACATAGTGTTCTCTTCTGTCTTTCCCTTATTTGCTAATTTATCTATAGGTACCATAGAAGGGTTCCCTAAGGTGTGCAGGTGATCAGGGAGGCAGACAACCTTTTATATGCTCCCAGACTTTCCTAAATCAATGATTATTTCCTGTAAACTTGGAGGGGCCTGGAGCTTCTATAAAGGCAATATTAAAAGTGTGAGACAAATCATGCTTGCCAGCTTGGGCCCTTTAACCAAGGGAAAAAAAATATGATAAAACTCAAAGGAACCCTGAAGGAAGGGAATTCAGGTTAATGAAAGGTTATCTGCACACCTTACCAGAACAAAGCCATTCAAATCCAACCATGTACATAGTATATATTCACCTATGCAAAAATATAGATTATGAAATATCTCAGTTAAACAAGGTTACAGGGTCGGTTTTGGTAGTTTAGATCAGGTGAATCAGGACATCTGCTACTAGCTGGTGACAGTATATCCTATTGTAATGTCAAATTTTGAGGTCAAATAACGTCTTCAAAAAATAACTCAAATGAGATCCTAATTAGAATAAGTATATTATAGTATATTATATATACTCCATGTATATATAATATACCAAAACACATTCTACTGTCATGTACATCTAAAAAGAACAAATTAAAAAAGATAACTCAAAATGAAACATTTCTATGGTATGTGTTCTGTTACAGTGCTTTGGGGACAACCTAAGTATTGAGACGTTTGGGAGTTAGAAGGTTAAAAACCCAAATGTTTAATTCTTGTTACCTACATATTGAAAAACAGACTCAGGCTTTTTAGAAAGCTTTTCACAAGGTACAAAAGAAAGAAGGCTTTACTCTTAGTCCCAAACAAAGGTCCATTACCTAAAACCTTTCAGTTTTTTAGAATACTCTCATATTACAGATGAATTCTGGTATTAATAAGAAAGGGATTATTAATTTTTTCTGTTCTAAGTGTTTAATACCTTGGATCCTTTCTTCCCTTTGGGGAATCCCATGAATTCTAGTTCTCCAGTAGATGGTGGTGGTCCTGCGGGGCCAGGGAGGCCAACATCCCCCTGTAAAATCAAAGGGAACATTAAACAAAGGCTAAACCACACAGACTATTTATCCAGAGGGTGAGTCTATCCTCTGGATGTAATTAAAAAATAAACTGTCCATTACTGTGGTTGTTTCATCCTTGCATTTATGAGGAAACAAAACTCTCATTGCCAAGGGATTGAGAATTATAAGCCTGACCAATTGAATTTTGTACCAGCACTGCAGAGGGAAGAAGCAAGATAGATAAAAGAAACCCATGGATTCATGGTTGCCATGGTCATGCACAAAAGGGTTTTTAGAAGACAGCCACAAAGGGGTTTCAGCAAGGTGAACAGCTACCTCTTGGCAACAATGATCAACTCTAACTGGTACAAATCTTTGCCAAGAACGCAAGCAGAGGCAGTGAAGTGTTTATTGGGACATTAGAGGCAACAGTTGCTCTTTCACAAAGCAGTGCTATCCACAAGAGCCAGGCAGGAAGAGGTGGAGGGCAAGTTCCCAAGCCTCGTTAGAGATTCCCAAATCACCATACAGTTTATACAGAAGGAAATGAGGGAAGGAGAGAAATGAAACAGAATTGTGAAAGAGAGGTTAAGAAAGAGACAGACGATTAGACCAGTATAGAGAGAGAGAAGAGAAAGAGAAGGAGGAGCAGGAAGTATTAAGGGAAGGGAGGAAGCAGAGAAAAGGAAAGAAGGTGATGGGATATACAAAACCACAGGGAAAATCAGGTGGAGGGAAGAAATATTTTAGGAGGGTATGTTTGTTAAGACAGGTAAGAAGCAGGGAGATGACAGTATTTTGAAAGATAAAGAACCACAAAAGCTGATGTGTCACATGTGTACATGCAGCCCTCAAGGGATACCATCAGGGAAATCTATGTGGATAAGGAAATGCCCATTTCTTAAGGTGAAGAACCAATCCCCTATGGAACTGGAGACTATCATGCTAAGTGAAATAAGCCAAACCCCAAACACCAAAGGCCAAATATTCTCTCTGATATGTGGATGGTTGGGGGAAGGGGCAGGGAATGAGAATGGAAAAGACAGTAGAATGAATTGGACATAACTTTCCTATATTCATATATGAATACATGACCACTGTAACTCCACATGATGTACAACTGCAAGAATGAGAAGTTAAACTCCATGTATGTATAATATGTCAAAATACATTCTACTGTCATGTATAACTAAAAAGAACAAATAAGAAATAAATTATAAAGATTATTATCACATAAAAAAGAACCAATTCTCTTTCACAAGCAGGCACATGCTTCAAGAAATTAGAGACATTTATTGGAGCATGTGTAATGCAGATTGTATTTTCCAAAATATGTTTACCTTGACTCCTTTCTCTCCTTGGAAACCTAACCCCATATTTCCCTGGGGCACAGGGGTACAGGGAAGAAAAACAAAATCAATTATAAACAAGTTCCAGGAACTTAAATTGAAATGCAGTATTATTTTTCTCTTACCAGAAAGTAAACTTAACCAAACTAGTATCTCTCTGGAGAAACCAGAGTACTAAGTAACAGGAGATAGAATGTCATAAGACAATGTATACTTACATCAAGACCAGGGAAACCAGGGGGGCCTGGAGGACCCTAGATTACAAGAAAAGAGTTAGCACCTGTCAATTTTCAAAGAATATGGGCATGTTGGAAGTCACTGGGGATAAGTCCTCTTCCTGGCTTGGTGAAGACTGGCCTTGTTATAGCAGATTCTAGCTCCTTCTCTCATAGTTTCTATAATCTCCTGAGAAAACTCTCAAATTGACCTGGTAACCAAATTCATGCTAAGGTAATGAAGACTTCATGTATCATTCTTTCCAACAGATCCAAAATTTAAAATATATATATTTAGTTGTAGATGGACACAATACCTTTATTTTGTTTGTCTTTTTATGTGATGCTGAGGATCAAACCCAGTGCCTCTCATGTGCTAGGCAAGTGCTCTACCACTGAGCTACAACCCCAGGCCCACAGGTTCAAAAATTTTAAATGATGACTTGGTGAAAGTAAGCCAGAGTCACAAGCAAAGGGATGTCATGTGTTGCACATACACCAGTGATACACATATTTGATATCAGAAAAATAGGTAGATAGGTAGAGCCATCCAACATTCAATGCTGAGAAGAATTTTGAAGCTTTGTGTTCAGGGTATGTGACAGAAGTGGTGGTGGTATGATTGATTAGCAATGTCTGTCTTGGGTAAGGGAGCAGAAGATAGCAGAAGATATGTCATGTTTCTGCCATCCCTGGGCTATACTTTGAGTTGAGCTGAACTAGGAGGCTTTGGAGTTATAGATTGGATGGTAAGAAAGACTCTGACAAATAAAGATAACCAATAGCTCCTAGAAAGAACATGTTTCATTTTAATCCTCCAGGAAGGGAAGTTGCCCTTCTCTACTAAGATGGCCTAGATTACATAGGCTTACATTTAATCTGTAGCAAGGTAAAGAAAACTGTCATGTCAATATTGTGATCACATACGAGATTTAAGTTGGTCTTACTTGTAATCCTGGTGGTCCTATGGATCCTGAATCTCCAGGAGATCCACGTGGTCCACGTGGGCCCTAGAGTAGTAAAGTTTTACCATGGTCAAAAAGCAAGACAGTTTTCCAAGAAAAATAAAAACATCTATGTGCACAAAATTAATAAAGAATGTTTACTGCAACTTTATTCATAATAGTAAAAAAATGGAACTATCCCAGGTATCCATTGACACAAGGACTGATAAATGAACTATAATACATCCATACAGTGAAATAAATACTCAACAATAAAAAGCAACAATCTACTGATATATGAAAACTGTGGATGACTCTCAAAAGCACTGTACTAAATGAGAGAAGCAAGACTCAAAAGGCTATACTTTACAATATTTCTTATATATGAAGTTCTAGAGCATACAGAAATTAATCTATGATGGAAAAAACCATAATGGTGGTTAACTTTGGGGTAGGGACAAAGATTTACTGGCAGGAGGCAGAAGGGAATTTTCGAGGTGATGTTCATGTTATATTCCTTAATAGAGGATTGGATTACACAGTAGTATGCATTTGTGAAAACTAAGCAAATGTACATTCAAAATCTGTGAATTTTACTGTAAGCAAATTTTATATAAAAGAAAAACCTGCAAACAAACAGTGAAGTTTAATGATAATATGCTATAATATTTAGGAGTAAGTGTTCCCATTGTAAGTTTACTTTGCAGTGCATCAAGAGTAGGGTGAATTGATAGAAGGATGGATAGATGGATAGAGCAGGGATAAATCAAGTATAATAAAATATTAATGGTATGTGTTTTCCATTCAATTTTACTCTATATTTTAATTTTCTTACTAAAATGCTATAAAAAAGAAAAAAAAACTAAAAAGAAAGAAAAAGAGCTATTTAGTGTCAGATAAAGTAAATGTCAAGACAAAGAATATTTACAGAGATTTTAAAATTATCAGAATTAAAGAGGGGGCTCTTCATAATGATAAATAAGTCATGAAGAAGACAATATTAGATGTATCTATATAACAGCAGAGCTTCAAAGTATGTGAAGCCCAAACTGACAGAACTACAAGGTGAGGTAGGCAAATCCACAATTACAGTGGGAGATTTTAACATCTCTCCCTCATTAATTAATAGAACTTTAAAAAATGAGGACATTAAAGATCCAAACAACATTGTCAACTACCTTGATCTAATGGATACTGTTTATATTATTATACTCAACAACAACTGAATACATGTTCTCTTTACATGCATATATGGAACATTCACCAAGGTAGATCATATGTGGGGCCATAAACCAAACCTCAGCAAGTTTAAAAGGATTAGAATCACACAGAGTATGCCCTCTTAACTGCAATGAAATCAAACTAAAAATCATTAAAAAGATATTTAGGAAGTTGTCAAATACTTGGGAATGAAACAACACACTTAAATACTCCATGGGTCAAAGAAAAAGTCAGAAGGGAAATTAGAAAATGTTTGGAACTGAACACCAATTCTAAAGGCAAGGCAGAGAAATCAAGCAAAAGATTGGAGAAATGTAAGGCCTGGTTCCACTGGGAACCTTGTAACCTAATCTGCCATTATGGTATACAACATGAACATCAATCAGAAAATTTCCTCCTGTCCCTTCCCAGTAAATCTTTGCCCTCATCCCAAGGCTAAGAGAGGTCAGGACTTAGGAGGAAAAAAAGGGAGGAATTCAAGGATAGTCCCTAAGAATGAATGACAATATAAACATTGCTTTGAAAAGAACAGCCTGTTTTCTCTTTACTGATCACAAATCTCTGGTTTAGTCATTAAACATCCTGTCCTCAAATCTAAGCACTTTCTATATGATGACTGGGTAAATAGACACTGTACTTTTTTGGACAGGGAACAAATCCCTAAGAGAAGGTATGCAGCAAAAACAGTGTATGTTATTTTACAAACTTAATGATCACACCATTTCAACCTACTTTGTGTAGCTCCAGGGGACCTATATGCCCTTGGCCCTTACTCATCTTTGTTTTTGTGTAGGCTTGCATACCTCTTGTTTCTTGCCTAAAGCCTCCTCCCACTGCCTGCAAGTCTAAACACCATCCATACTTGTCAGAAGCCACCTTCTCTAAGATACAAGTCTCCCATGATGCATCTTTAGGTGAGTAGCATCTCTTCTTCTAAGTTACGGTGGAATTCTATTTTATTTCTTTTATAACATTTATTTTAAATTAATGTTTTAAAACAGTAAATTATCTTTCACAGCAGTGCCTCCTAGTCTGGTAATCACTGTGGAATTCTTATAACACATTCCTTCCATTAGTTTTCACATGCGGAGGGGAGGGACTGTGTCTAGGTTGCCTTAGGGAACTCATAGCACTTTGCTCCTAGGAGGTATTCAATATTTGTTGAGGATTGAAAAAGGAAGGGAAGAAGGAAGGAATATAGGAAAGATGGAAGAAAGAAGGAGCAATTCTTAGGCTACTTCAAAGGAAAGTGATGACTATGTCGAGTTCAAGGGGAAAGAAACCTCTTCTTTGTACTGGGGATTGAGCCTAGGGATACTCTACCATTGAGCTATATCCCTAGGCCCTTTTAGTTTGGAGACAGTCTCACTAAATTGCCCCCACTGGCCTTGAACTTGAGATTCTCTTGCTTCAGCCTCCTGGGTTGATGGGATTACAGATGTGCACCACTGTGCCCAACAAACAAAGCTCGTTTTTAAAAATATTTTATTTTAGTTGTAGATGGATGCAATATCTTTATTTATTTATTTTTATATGGTGCTGAGGATCAAACCCAGTGCCTCATGTATGCAAGGCAAGCGCTCTACCACTGAGCTACACCCCAGCCCACAAAGCTCTTTTTAATACAACTTAAGGCCTTTCACGAACAATTATCAGAGTCCCTAAAAAGAATTTCTCATATGGAATACCTTTTTAAAATAAGTGTGTTCTAGATCTTTTGTACAGCACTGAACACTTAGTAGATGCTTGCTGAATGAAAGGCAAGATACTTTTCCTAATACTTCCAGAAAAAACAGTAATCCCCACTTATCCATGGTTTCATGTTTCATGCTTTAAGTTATCCCCAATCAACCACAGTTCGAAAATATTAAATGGAAAAAGTATCATGGATTTAATGGTCAAATGAGCTTTACATAGTAGTCTAATGTTATATCCCAATGCCTAAGTCATTTATCTCACTTCATCTCACAACATAGGCATTGTATCATTTCATATTTTCGAAGAAGGGTAAACACAGTACATTAAGGTATTTTGAGAGAAAGCAAAACAAAAGGGGCTAGAGAGTACATTCACATAACTTTTATTACCATGTATTATACTTGTTTTGTTTTATTATTAGTTATTTTTGGTAATCTCTTGCTGCATCTAAATGACAAATTAAACTTTATCGTATGTCTATATGTATAAGAAAAAACATAGTATATATATATATATATATATATATATATATATATATAGGGTTTGATATTATCCATGGTTTCAGGCATACATTGGCAGTTTTCTAACATATCTCCCACAAATAAAGGGGGGCTACATAGGTTACTGACCTAAAGTCTGAAAGCCTGTCTGTTGTGAAACTTGAGGTAGACAGTTCATCTTCTTGGTAACTTCTCATCAAAGAAATGGGAATTGTATGACCTGTTCTATCTCAACTCTGTAGATTGCCTTAAGAATCGCTATGAAGACCTTCAAACACCATACAAAACAAAACAAAACAACAACAACAAAAAACACCACCTGTGACTGTTGACTAAACACTGAGAGCTCAATACATAAATAACAACTTACAGGGATTCCATCCAGTCCAGGTAGTCCAGGATCCCCCTGAGAAACAGACAAAGGCGGGACACTGAAGAGATTAATCAATCAGGCCTGCAGTATTTTAGACAACTAACCTAAGATTCACGGAGATAAAATGCATTACAGAAAACCTGGGCCTCCTCTGCCAACATTTCATGTTTTAAATATTGCATGAATTGGACATATTCAACCATTTACTTTTTTCCTATGAAAAATCTGGACTCTTGAAGACAAATATTATAGCCTTGGCTGAACAGGATTTCATATTTTACTTGGATTAATTAATTTTCACCTTTGCTAGGAACTTATCAATTAGAAACTGCTTCTGCGGGCTGCTGATTTTCCTGCTCTTTTTAGAGGAAGGCAAAGCTACCTTCCCGTGTGCCTTCATCCCCAGAGAATCTGTGCCCATATGTATACAATGCAAATCAGACATTTCAAGGGAAAATCAACAGAGCATACAGTCTCTGATTACGTTTTAATTACTTTGCAGCATCTTAAGCCACTGTATGAATCTGTAATATAACCATCTTGTGGAAACTGCTGTGTTCCACTGGATCTAGGGTCTCTTTGATTTTGGGCAAAACCATTTAATCAATGTTTGCTAAGACAATGGCTATATTTTGACACTTACTAGTCTTACCCCACTTGGCTTGCAGTCAAAAATCAGCTCTCTGTAGCATGGAAATAGCACTGCCTGGGGTTAAACTCTTTGGTTAACTGGCTGTGTGGCTTTGAGCAAGTTACAAAGCCTCAGTACACCTCAGTTTTTCTATCTGTCAAATGAACAATATAAAATCTGATAATGGCAAGGTCCTTCCCAATTACTGTTTATGACACCTATACTTAACAGCCCAAACCCTGGATCATCTCTAGTTCTCCAGTTACACAACCCCATCTCTGTCTTCCAGAGCAGTTTCCAGTGTCCCCTGCTGTGTGCATTAATGGAAGTCAGAAAAGTACCACTGAGTAGCTGAGTGAGCTTGGAGCATCTTCCCCTCAGATGTTGGGACCTTAGATTCTCATCTGCTATCAGGGCAATGATGGGTTCCTTTCCTACTCTGCAAAGAAAAAGGGTCAATCCTTTGGAAGAAGGATTTATGAGACTCCACAAGGATATCAGGCAGCATATACTAAGAGTACAGTCACAAGAAAAAAGAAGGTTTTTGACAAGAGATGAAAGTTTCCATCTAGCTTCAGAGCTGATGAGCATGTTTTTGCATATATGGAGTGCCCAGCTAGGGTGATTGGATGGTATGCAGAGGCAGAGAAGGCCAGGCCAGGATCCTAAGCTGGTGGCCACACTGAGGCAGACAGACATATATGAATTAAAACTAAGATATACACATGTCAAGGATTCTAGGATATTCCAAAGATATCTGCTTCTAGAAAACGTCTTGGCTTGTCAAAGAAAATTATACCCATGCAAACTGTTGTGTCTCTTATTTTTGGTCTAGATCCTACAAGGCAGATCTCTTTGGCAGTATAGTTGCAAACATTTCTGTCAGTGTTTCACCACAAAAGCTCCAGATCCTTTTAAATCCAGCTTGGTCTGCTCCTTAAATAGAGACACAGATGCTAGTTGTAGAAATATTTTTTATTGGAAGTGGGGCCTAATCCTGGGGAGCCCATCTTACAACCTACTCAGCTGGCTGCCTTAGAGACTCTTACCTTCATTCCTGCGAAACTTCCTGGAGAAGGAATAGGTTCCCCTTTTGAGCCTTTCTGACCAGGGAGCCCCTGAATAAAATAATAAGAGAAACTTGTGAAGAAACACATGCATGCATAGTTTTGTTTATAGTATGATCTGATCAGATGGAGGATGGAACTATGAGAGCCTGAAATTATTTGGCTTACTCTATGACAGAACTGGCTGTGCTAAGGGGCAAAGCATGACCCCTTAACAGTTGCTAGTGTCTCAAGGTTAGATGTCCATTCCTCCATTCCCCAAGTCAAAGGTACGTTAAAGGATATGGATTAGACAGAAGAAAACTTAACATTTATTCATACCATTGATCTGAACAAACACATAATCCATAAGCCTAGAGTTCACTACTCTACCCCCAACAGGTATAAGACACTGACAGAGCCTAGGACAAAGGTCATCGGTTTTTATATAAAGAGCCAGATATTAATTTAGGGTTTGTGGGTCACATCTGGAATCTGCCCCATATTTTTCTTGTTCTTTCTTTTAAAATATCTTTCAAATGTAAAAACAGGCTATAGGCCAAGTGCCATTGTGCACCAGTTGTAGGCCTCTGGTCTAAAAGTTACCTATAAAACCATTGTCATCCTCTGCTTCTACCACACAACTTCCACCTCAACACCTGTGTAAGGGGCTGATGTGTCGTGCTGTTAACATGGAAAACAGCTCAAAGTACCCAATCCCAATCTTTGAACTAGATTTCTTTTTTTGCTGTCTCAGTGGCAAATGCTGGCTAATATCTTCTAAAGTTTGTCCTCCTGGGGAAGATCAATGTCCTTACATCTAAGGGGAAATCAGGATTAGTACTGGGGGAAGGGTTAAGCTTTGGGGACTGAAGTGTTGACTGAATGATGGATTCTTTGAGTGCAGGGACCATTGGTATTATAAAAGAACAACATGGTCCCAGAAGCATAAACCAGTTTCTTTCCTAACACCTGCCTGTTTCCCCTTTTTCTTGTGGTCACTATTGTTTTCAAAGCCGCTTCAAAGAAACTGGTTGAATAGAGATTCCCGGGTATTCAGCAGGGGATAAGGTTCAGCTTAGTAAAATACATTCCCAAATTCCTATTTAGGCTTAAGGTAAGGTTTAGGGACAGGATTAAGTTTCTACCCATGTCCTGTGTTCATCAGGGGATGTTTTATTACCTCAGGATCTCTATTCTCTTTGGGGGCAGAATTCCCTTTCCTTTATCACCACAGAAGTATTCTTTTCCTCTCCCCTGTTGCCATGGCAATGTTTGGAGGCCTTTGTGATGCACACAGATTATTCCATGTTAGGAATATATCTTTTCCTACAGCCTCCCCCTTCAGCTATACATTGGTTTGGTCCTTAGATGTCAAGGTCCTTTATGGCAATCTGGGGTTTGTGATTTGTCTGTTTGTCTGTCTCACTTTCTCACAGGTACACCCACAACCTGGTTACTGAAGGCAATGGTGATGCTATTCTAGTGAAATGCCAATTAATTGTTGTAGCTATGAAGCTATTTAATGGATACACTGGTTTCTAGTTAAAAGTCTCACATAAGAACCCTTATTAATTTAAATGTTTTTCAAGTGAGGTTAAAAATTGGCTTGAAATGTGTTATTTTCTCTTTCCAGCCACTTTAAAAGAAACCAGCCTTGCAAAGATATGATATATACTAGAGATTCTTTAGATCCAAATATCTGAGCCTTATCTGGAGGAATATAATTAAGTAAAACTGATGAGACTTGAGTCTAATAAATATCAACCCCACAATCAAGGGTAATGATGTGGGGTGGGGACTAGCTTTTTTCAACCTCAGCACCAGTGACACACTGGACCAAAGGATTCCTTGATTTGGGGGGGGGTGCTATTCTGAGCCCTCAGTTGAGACATGGAAAGATATCAATAACAATTATCAAATATCCCCTGAGGGGCAAAATCACCCTGGTTAAGTACCATTGGTACATATCAAGCTTGCCAAGCCTCTGGGACCTTGTTAATGCTTCTAGATCATATGTAAACCTTCCAAGCATTTTCCTGTATCTACTGATGAGTGAACATGTCAGATAGCCCAAGTGTATATTTTGCTCTGAAATGTACTATAACCTTTTAACAATCTTGCCGATTCCAAAAGCAATATTTAAAGAGCAACATGAAGTAGTGTGGCCTGTGTACACCCCCTGCAACTGGTATTCTTTAGACTTCTGTTGCTGTTGTGTTGCCAACACAGATTCCAGCTTTGGACAAGGGACTGCAGTGACTGCCCCAAAGAAGCTTAATGAGGTTGCCAGATGAGCAGAAAAAGAGCATATTTGGAGGCAAGCAATGCCAATTAAATTGAAGTGCAAAGATCTGGCAGCATACAGGTGGTCCAAGAATCCCAGGATAGCCATCAGGGCCTGGAAATCCAACAGCTCCTCTAGTTCCATTACAGCCATCTAGGCCAGGTGGACCTCTGGGGCCTGGCTGTCCAGGGTGGCCCTGTTCAAATAGAAAAGAAAGGATTATGTCAGCCACAGGATTGTCAATTAATCCAAAAGGCTCTACAGTGAGAAAAGTCAAGAATCCTGCTAAACTCTTGGCTCTTTGTCTATTTGCTTAACCCCACCACATATGTTCTCATATCTTTCTTTTAGACTCAAGTACATGTGTCTAATCGCAGCTCAAAGATACCTCTTCTCAAAGGATCAATACTTTTAATAGGATTCAAGCTGAAACTAAAGGGATCAAGCACAAACAGATGGAATATATAAGGTTCTATAAGTTCACATTCCCTGAGTACAAAGATGTACTAAAGTGGAGCTTAGCAGTCTGGCAGCTGAACTGCTCCCAACAGGAATGATGCCAGGCTGTGGGAATCCTTTGACCAGACAGATCCTGGGAAGCCTGGCATGATTTCTCTATTCGAAGCTCTGCATGGGAACTGATGCTGGACTTTGGTCTTCAGAGCAGCAGCAGTTTCCACAGTGCCTCCTCTCCTGAAATCTGCTTGGCTCAAAATAAGCAAGTCCTGCAAGAACCACACTTTCAATTTCATTTAATGAAAATCACATTTCAGGTTACTGCCTCATTTAGGGAACTGTATCTTCTCTTCAGGAAGAGATTCTGGGAGTCTTCACTGGGAGACTCAGGATGCAGATTGGAGCAAGAGGAGACAGAGCACAGAATATTTATTTCCCCCATGCCCTTGTACACTGGCTATATTTCTGGCACTAGCCACATTTCTCTAAATTCTTAGGTCCTCTTGGGCAACAGCTATTTCATGGTTCCAGGTCTCATTGGGTTCCAGTACTACAATTTCATTTTTCCTCTTTGGATCTACGCTGTTAATCGCTTTGAGTTAGTTCATTTGCCATCTATTGTTTATCTTAATCCCTCCCACATCCTTTAAGTATACTCTTTATTCAATCTACTCAGTTAAATTCTTGGGTGTACTGCCTTCTTCTTGCTGGGGTAACCAGTCATGACCACTGTAAATTGTCCCAGTGGAACTTCCTAGGGGTTATCTCTCAGCTGGGTAACAAGAATAAGTTAAGGCAAAACAGGCTGGTGCAGGAGTCTTCCTTATTCCTGAGATTTTTGATTCTGTTTAATAACAAATCCTTTCCCTTTGCCTGGATTCTCACTCTTTGGTATCTTCATTTTTCACTTGGGCTCATTCCTTTGATAGTTTTGTCACCTAAATTCCTAATATCTCTTACCTGCAGGATTCTAAGGTTATCTGTTCACTCTTTTTTACATTAGTGGAATTCTCGAGAATTGAAATCTGATCTCGAACTCAGACTTTCCAGCCCTTTCTCATCCAGCTGATACTATGGGATGGTAGACAATACACATTTTGAGCCATTCAGAATTGTGCTCTAATGTTAGCTTTGCCTCTTTCCAGCTGAATGAAGCTTCAGTTCCTTCATCTCTACTGTGGAGCTGAATAACACCTACTTTATAGGGTTGCTGTCAAATGCCTACCCTATTGCATTCTGGTCAAAATCAAGTGGGATTAGATTTACTAAGTAGGAGTTCAATAAATGGTAAGTTTTCTCCCAGATAAGTCAGCAAGGGTAAGCACAAGGCCAAGTTCAACCTTCCTCTTGATTTTCAGGGCCACAGAATTTCCGGCACTTTGCTGTTTCTGGTTATAAGTGATGACTTTACATATGTGTGTGACAGTTTTCTAAGAGAGTGAGTGTAGCTCACTGTAGGCCTCCAGAGCCTCTTCCTTTTGAGGAAGGAAGCCTTAGTTCAATGTAGCCATAAGGGACTGAGTACACAGACTAGGAATACTTACTGTATTTCAGAAAAACAGTGTTCCTCAGAACCCAGTTTCAAAGTTCCCACTTAGTGAGTGGTATGTGTCCACTTTGGGTATATAAATCTAGTGTGCTCATTTATAAGCCTCTATGCAGGGCAATGTTTGAGGTTGACTCCATGGGAAAAGATAAACATAATCTGCAAAGAACAACTTGAAAACCTCTGCTCTTCCCAACTTATTTGAACTGCAAGCATTTGACAAATGTACATTTGTTATTGGTACCAACAGCCCCAATTCACAGTTGAGACATCATTAAAAGCCACAGCCCCTACTATCCTCAGTCTACATTGTTCTGATATGGAAAATCTTGATGAATGCTTGTTTGTTCATTCTCTCCACTGGTTGTTGTGCCCCTTGATGCAAAGATTCAGGTTATCATGAAATTATTACTCACCCATTCAAGTTGAAATTGTCTACATGACAACAAAGATGGAGTTTTGGGACTCAAACCAGTGACACATAAGTTAATGATCAGCCTATATTAAAAAAGGAACCAGATCCATGCATTGATCCAGTTTAGTAAGTTGTGTTGCAGAAGCTGATGGTTTCAGTCAAATTGCTTAATAAGTTGTTAAAAGTTGAAAAAAAAATAGTCTGACTGGGCCTATGGTATCTTTGTTTTCCTCTGTCTGAGGGAGTGACGCCAGTCTGAGAATTATTGCTCAAAAAAAAAAAAATAGGCCCTAGAGGTTGGAGTCAGTCCTCTAAATCTTGTTAGATATCCAGAGGGATGCTGAACTCAACTGTAGGCCTCCAGAGCCTCTGGGAGGAGCAGAAGATTTAATCTGTGCTCTCAGGAAGCTATGAGACTATCACACAGGACAAGCAATAACTACCATTGGGCTGTATGTAATAAGAAGCTAGAGTATGTGAGGCATTGAGCAAGGCCTCCTGGGACCTTAGAGATGGAAGGAAGAGGCAAGTACTGAACAAAAGATGCTCAATACATACTTTTTAAATAGCTAGAAGAGAGGAAAAAATAAGGAAGAAGGATTTCATGGAGTAATGAAGCTTGAGACCTGTAGCTAAAGATTTCAAAAGTCAACAGAAAACATAGACAAGCTTTAGTCAAGGGAAGGACCAAGGGAGTGGCAGTGAAAACTGGGGGCAGCAAACTTACTGGGGGAGTATGGACAGCTGTGACTCTTTCTCCCAAGTAATGAAGACCCAAAGAGAAGTGATCAACTCCTGCAAGCTCTAGAGCTCTTTTGATTACAAGTTGAAGGCAGAAGTGTCCAGCTGGACCTGGGGACAGGTTCCAACTCTGATTTGGAAGTAGTGTGGGCCTCATATGATTTACTTTATTTTACCTACCATTAAAAAGAGACCGCAGGAGGAAGGGTGTGTTAACACTTCAAGCTCCAAATCCTCCACTCATCTCTGTCAAAGCCAGGTCTATAGGATGAATGGGAGAGGCTGCTTCCATTTTTCTAGTTTCTCTTACCCTTGGTTCCAAGAAGGTACAAACTCTGACTGGCTAAAGTGACGATAGGAACACAGCCATAAGAAAATGCCAGGAGATGCCATGAAAGGATGGCCATTCCCATCCACTTTGTTTTCCCACTGGCCCACTTCTGGGCATTTTTCAGACTCTGAAGTTAAATAGAATGCAGAAATGTGAGAGTTGACTTGTTGATATGTATAACAAATACAAGACAAGAGAACCTTCTGTTCTCCAAATCCACAAATGTCTATTAGATCTTGGGAGAAAATGGACCAGATGATAATATCTCTGAGGTCATAGCTATAGCCAAATGTTTCCTTTATATCCCCACAGTATAGTCCTAGCACATAGCAGATGATCATGAAATTCTTACAGGTTAAGACAAAGAGATCTGCAATCCTTTCATTAATACTAGATTATGTAGCATAACAAAAGAAACTCTTAAGTCTAGGACTCCCAAAGCATGTTTTGATATCAATTGGAACTCCTTGAATTTGTTGGAAGTATGAAGGCAGAATCCAGGGCCCCTTCAAATGGAGGAGCTTCACTTTTTCTTTTTTGTTTGATATACTGAGCTTTCTGCACAAGATCTGGTCCTCTCTTAAAGAAGACTGAAAATCACTGCACTAGACAAACAGCCCAGGCTGGGGTTTGAATAGAGAGAAAAGTGACTATGGGCAAAACCAAAATGTGGTAGCCAGTAAGTTCCAAAACACAATACAGTAGGATTTTAAAGGCTGAGGAAATGTTACCATGGAATCTCCAGCGGTGGGTTAAGTGGAGATATAGGACAAAAATGGAGCAACTACAGGATTGGGTTGGATGGAATGGAGAAAGATATATCTGCAAGCTCCCAACCCACTACTTTTATGTAGCAAAGCAGTGTATGCCAAGAGTCTATGTCCAAGTGATCTTTGGAATAGTCACTTTATAAAATCTAAAGGGAAAGTCACTCTGAAATGAAGTAAGGCTGAAAAGAATAAAATACTGAGACAAAATATATCAAGATATCATTAAGGCGGGGGTTGTGGCTCAGTGGTAGAGCACTCGCCTAGCACATGCCAGTCATTGGGTTCAATCCTCAACACCACATAAAAATAAATAAATAAAATAAAGATATAAAAAAAGATATCATTAAGGATTTTTTCTAATTTGCATATACCTTCGCAATCCTCCTATAACAAGCATGTATATGCTCTAATATGGCTCAGCCTCTGTACCTTAGAAACAGTCCCTCATCTCCAATGAAAGCTTCCCTCAACTTACAAGACCTTACCCATTTGGGCTAAAATATGGATGATTTCTTATGGATGCATATGCCCCTCTACCCCTCAGCAGTCTGACTTAGGGCTTCCTATACTCGAGTACATGGGTAACTGTGACCACTGCCCTTCCAATTTCACCACACACATCTCAATATTTGACCCTAAGCATGCTTGCATACTACAAGATGTTGCTAAGGCCAAAGTACCCCAGCTGTGAAGTAGAACCTATAGGATGATATTAAAAATGCATCTGTGGACACTTACCGGAATTCCATTGATGCCAAGAAAGCCAGGAACTCCCATGGGACCCTTAAAAAAAGGAGTAAGCAGATGAATGTAAGAGACAATCCCATTTATGGAGTGGGGCATACTGGGGATTGAACTCAGGAGCACTTGACCCCTGAGTCACATCCTTAGCCCTATTTTGTATTTTATTTAGAGACAGGGTCTCACTGAGTTGTTGAGGCTGGCTTTGAACTCATGATCCTCCTGTCTCAGCCTCCCAAGCCTCTGGGATTACAGTCATGGAATTCAATTGATATCTGCTAGATTTGGTAGGTTTGTTTACGTGATTCAAATACCTAAGTTGTTAAGAAATGCTTTGTATTTCCCTCTCCACATTGTGTGGCCTTGTTCCCTACTTCAGTGCTAAGTGATCACTTGCTTTCACCTAAGGCCTTGGATGTGTCTGTGTTCTGAGATGAGTTATCATCCTTATGCAGTATAGTGTTAAACTTTAAAATTAAGGCCAAATATCACATGCTGCTTTGACATCTGGAGAAACCCAGGAGGGCTTCGAGAGGCCTAACCATGAGTTCCCTCCCCACCTGCTCTTTCAGATAAAGTCCTGTAGCCAAACCACCCTCTTTATCAAATGGACCAGGTGCAGTTTCTGCTTATCCCTGAATAGCTGCTGCAATACCCTGCTGGACCACTGAATTATTCAAACAAGTCAAATCACGTCATCCTTCAGGAACCGGGGCTCTTGATACATAAAGTCTGAGACCTCCCACAGCCTCTTAGTTCAGTCTTCTTGAGCACAATCACTGTGTGGTCTTGCATGGTGTGCGATGTCCTCCTCCCTTGAGCTGTGAGTCTATATAAGTAATAAACTGCTATCAACCTCATCTGTCCAGTATTAGGTGTCGTGTCTTCAGCCATTCCCATTATTTTAGTGTGAGAATCCCTCCCTCACCAACTGGGTTAATAGGAGGTAATTAAACTAGGCAGGGAACATAAACTTAGTTGCTAAACTCAGCTGGCCTGCCACCATGATATTATCACTCTCCTTTCTTGTAGTTTTCCCCTCTATTTCTGGCCCAAATTGCTTCCAAACCTTCTGAGCTCTTGCCTCCCAGTCTCTTTTCTGGGGTTCTTGTTCTCTAGTATCTGGCTGAATGGACTTCTGATCTGTGCCCAGTTCCAACGAACATGATTTCTCACCACAGTGAGTCCACTTGTCTGGCAAATAGGTAATAATGTACTTTACAGTTTGCTTGCCCATGAGAGTCTCTCCAGAAATTGGCTGAACCACCAGCAGTATATCACCCATCTCCTCTTTTTTAAGTTTTAGTTGTAGATAGACACAATACCTTTATTTTATTTATTTATTTTTATGTGATGCTGAGGATCAAACCCAGTGCCTCCACTTGCTAGGCAAGCGCTCTATCACTAAGCCAGAACCCCAGCCCCCATCTCATCTCTTATTAAAGTATGTAGCTGGACACTGAAGAAATTCACTAAGTATTATTCCCAAAATTGAGCCGAAGTGAGATTGACAATTTTTGGTCTTAATGCTTATGATCCATGCATCACAGGAAAAGCAAGCTTTGGTGATCTTACCTTATCTCCTTTTGGTCCATATGGTCCCAGAGGGCCTGGGGAGCCCTTTTCCCCTTTCAATCCTGATAAACCAGTAGGGCCAGCAAAGCCTTCAGGACCTGTGGGACCTTGAAATCCAATTGGTCCAGGTCCCCCCTAAGAGACGGACAGAAGGAGTGCAATTAGTCAATACAGAACTCAACATCAACACTTTCCATTTTCCCATGCACAAAGAACACTGTCACCACTTCATTAAATAATTTTGGCTTACAGATCTCTGAGGCATGCCAAAGTTCCAGACATGGATCAGAAAAAGGCTATTTTAGGGCTGCTAAGCTTATTTGGATAGAACACATTTTATAAGCTCATTTAATAAGATTCATGTGCACCAAGATCCTTCAACTTTGTACTTCTTAGGAGATTAGTTATTCAGGCTGGATAATATTGTCTTCTTCCCAGTGAATGCCAGACCATCCATCAGATTGTCAAAATAGTGAAAGAACAGAACACCAGAGAACATTGTGGCATTTTTAAACTCACATCCAAATGGCCAGCCACAAGCTTGCAGTGAAGTTTGGAAATGGCCATGCTTAAAGAATACTGCCCCAGGGGGGCAGGTAGGGGAGAATCTAAAAACCTCTGAGTTGACCAACCTGTCAGAATTCATCTTTGGCTGATCCCAGGATCCAAATTGCTGTACCTGGCAACAGATACTTACAGGGAAAACACAACAAACACACACACACACACACACACACACACACGTACTGTTTACTTGCTCTTCCTATTCTCCCTCCTTTCCTCTCCCCCCAATCTGAACAGTGTTGAATGTGTAAAATGCAAGGAGCCTGTGAATATCTATTAAGCATCAATTATGGTAGCAAGAGAGAGCAGCCTGAGGATTTTGAATGCCCTGGTTATAAAATGTCTGTAACAATTAAGTCTGAGAGTTCAGGCTGACATTTTAAAGCAGACTGAGACTGAGAATTAACCCCAGTGGGTACAATACAGGCAGCCTGGACTATCATTTAGAACAAATCCCAGTAGGGACTGAATTTTCTTGGCAGAAAAATGAAAACCATTAGTAATGTGCATTACCTCTCAGAAAACACAACACCATATCAGGTAGAGAGCTTATTTTCATAAATGCTCCATCTCCACCTCTCGGCCTCTTTACTGACTGTCTGCAATTTCCTACAAATCTGTGACAAACTCTGGCAAAAGTCCTTTAATCATACCCTTTACTATTAATGTTCAAGGTTTATCTTTTTTACAGGGCTCCAAAGAGGACGGATGCCTTATGCAGTGTCTAGAGTCACAAACTGGAGATACAAGTAGCCAACAGCTGTGTTGGTCCTTTGGAGTATAATTTTTGATGTCAATCAAGCCCGTGAAGACTTAGGACTCATGAAAAGAAGTAAAAGCCACTCTGCCCAAGGAGATGCATTTCTCTGGGGCACCACCTACCACTCAACCTTTCACAAACCCAATATACAGGCTACAAAGGGTGGTAGGCTAAAAACTGTCTAATAGGGTTGCTTCTGAGAATGAAGAAGATAGGAGGTTAGTGTTCACTCTTGAGGATGTTACCTCCCATCACTGGAATTTTGTTTACAGTGATTCTGTTATTTACTATTGTAATTTCCATACAATCGATATGTGTGTATAAGGAGAAAAAAAATCTCTGTCAAAAAATCAATTGATGATACATGTGTGCATCTATTTCTAGGCTTTATTCTGTTTACATGTACTTTTATGCCAAAACCACACTTGTATTATTACTATAGTTTTCTAATAAACTTCCTTTCCAATCTGTAAAGGGGGGGGGAGGGAGAGGGAGAGCGAGAGGGAGAGGGAGAGAGAGAAATACTTTAAAACAATTATGTTGGGATGCTGCTAAGAATGGGCAAAGAAGTCAAAATCTGGGTTCCAAGAGTACTGTACACAAAACCATCACAAACAGTACAGGTCTGGAACACAGCACAAGTACTGCAGGAACACAGGAGAGACTGGCCACAGATGTTTGAGGAATGCTTACATTTGGCCTATGGCTGGGGGAAGTCATGAGCCACATCTGGATGGCCAAAAGGGCCCAGCCAAAGTGGGCCTGGAAAGCCAGGCAAGAAAGTTAGAGAGTTGATGTGGTAGGACATAGGGAACTATCTGGGAAGAAAGCAGTGTTCAGGGCTGAAAGTCATCAAGGAGCATTCTGGAGAACATGTGTGTGTCAGCAGGAGGCCAGGGCAGCCTGCCTGAGGCTGGAACAAGGGAGGCAGATAAGAACCAGCTGTTGGGGAGGAGAACTCTGCTTGGAGGGAGGATGGGATCAGGATGGGCTTGCTGAGGTCATGTTATTACTAGCAGAGAAGACCCAGTCAGGGCACTGAATGCTTGACCCAAATCTGAGTCTTGCCAAAAGTTTTCCCACATCAAGGGAGGTGAGGGGGAAAACATGATAAACCATTGAGTGCCTACTGAGAGTGGGCCCAATTCCCATCCTTCTCACACCATTAGAGGAGCTTGAGCAGTGCCCAATATAGGCACAAGGACTGGCACACCCCACCTCCACTCCTTTGCCTTTGAGAACACCAGGGCAACACCCAGGGCAAACAAGGAGACATATGGATGAGGTGATTCTAGGGCTATACTTAACAGGAACTCTGATTGCAACCAGCAGAGGCAGGGGTCCATGGCCTGCTTCCTTTTCCTTGGCTGGGTGGGCATGCTAAATTTGTTGATGCCTCTGTTCCATTCACAAAGATGAAAGTGAGTTTCTTAATGACCTCATGAGGGCTGGGGTGGTGGTTTCCTGGTAGAGTACTTGCTTAGCATGTGTGAGGCATGGGATTTGATTTTCAGTACCGCCTATACATAAATAAAATAAAGGTCCATGGACAACTAAAATAATATTTTTTAAAAAAGACCTCATGAATATTTTTTTTTAGTTCCAACTCTTTTATCAAAGAGGCATTTGAAAAGGTACCGCTTGGAGAAACATGGACTTCTAGGCTGACCCCCAGGTTTTTAGAATGGTGGGCATGTGAGCAGGCAAGCTTCAAACCTGTCAGATTGACTTCAGAACTAGAAGCAGGGCTTGTGGCATATGCTGAGGCTCCTGAGGCACTATTCCTCTTGAAATCCCTCCTCAGTGTGGTGCCAGGCCCTTCTGAAGTCTGGAACCATAGGATATGATCATGACAAGGAGCCTTCCCACCCACTGAAGTCCTCTCTTATAGTGTGGCACACAGTACCACCAACAAAGAAAAATGGTTTGTTTTGCAGTCATCTCTTGATAAGATTACTCTGTGGCTCATCACGGTTTGGTCTTTTTTGCTCATCTCCAATGCACACAGTTTCTGTCCTAGTACCCAATGTACTGTTGAAGCTTAGTACTAAATCAGTGATGGATTGTTTTTTTTTTTTTTTTTTTTTTTTCCCTCTAGACACTATCAGTGACATTTTTCCTAGTGGCCAGCAGAGGTCAGTGTGAGAACACAGAGAATACAGATAAGCAGGTGGGTGGGTGGGCCTCTCCCACTACAGAGAAAAAGAAATCAAACCAGTGTCAGAGAAGTCACAGAATGTTTGAGCAGAGAAGGCCCTTGGAGACTATTCAATCCAGGGTTTACTTTATACATGGGGTGGTGGAAGGAGGCTAAGAGAAGAGGAAGGACTTGTTTAGGTCACATAATTAGTGGGAACAGTGTAGAGCTTAAACTAGACCGCCTGCTGCCAGTGGATGGCTCTTGCCTGTTTGCCAATGGCAGATGTCCTAGGGGGTCCATCAGGCTGCCCCCCCTTGCCCTGGGTCCACCCCTGGGACTGTCCCCATCAGTAGGCTGCAGCAGCCAGATGCTCACACATCATTTCTCTCTTCCTAACCCTGATCATTTCACAGAACCAATCTGAAACATCATCACTGTTTGGACTGCTAGCAGAATTTCAATAGGCTTGGACCAATGCCCTGCCCTGATACATGTCATTTATTTTGGCAAATAGATCCAGACAGGGCAGAAGGGACTCCTCCAAGTCTTTCCAACAAGCTCTCCCTCCTCCATCTGCTCAGGATTTTAAATATGCACATCAGGGACTAATTCTCAAGGGAATGGCTTGGGATTTGTGCCTAAGGCCAGGGACTACAGGTCCACAACCACAGTCCAAGCCGGACGCCTCCTCCTGGCTATGGGCTGGGGACAGTGTGCATTTTAAGATTGCCTTTGATCAGACCCAGACAATTGGGTAAAGGACCCAGAAATGGAGCTGTTTATAAAGTAGTACACATATGCAGAAATAGCATCCAGGAACCTTAAAAGCGCATTTCTCAGACTAGGTAGAACTTCGAAAACTGATGGAGGTGGCTGACCTTTCATAATGTGCCCCCCTTTGGCCCTTTTTATCCATCCCTCAAGATTCCAGTGTTCCTCTCCCATAAAATTAAACTTTGTTCTTAAGGAAGAATCTGAAATTCATTCCCACCAGCCCATAAATGACTGACAAATTAGAGCTTCAGTTTTCCCAGGGGATTTGTAGTTAATGGTGAGCAAAATGTTAAGTCAGGGGATGCACGGTATATTTATGAAGCAGGGATCTTGCATATGATTACTGTGAGTTAATGAATGGAAAACACCTGAAACATAGAACAAAAGTATTGGTTCCCTATCCCCTTTAGGTATCATGATGGTAAAATGGAGAAGTTAGGATTGAGTACTCAATGCCCATTTTGTAAGTTTAGCTGAGAGATGCACAGACATTATTGAGACACCATCTTTGGGGCAGAAATGTGTGACTGGGAATGAAGGACTATGTATGCTGTCACCCCACATCTGTGGGGGCAATTCCCCTCTTATTGAGGTATGCTGTCCTGGTTCTTCTGGGTACTTGGATCCTCAGTGTGCTCATTCTCCTAAAGGGACCTCATCTATATGCTAAGGACTCCCCAGATCTGAACCTCCAGCCTAGATTTCTCTTCTGAGTGTACCAGATCCTTATAGCCAATGGCTTATGAGACCTCTCCATCTGCAGATTCTGTCTCAACTCAACATGATCAAAACAGAACTCACTGTCATTATCCTTAACCTTATTCCCCAGACCAACTCCTTTCTCTCAAGTTACTGGAGTGAACTCAGTATATGGCACCATCCATTAAGTTGACTGAG